GGTGCAGGGCTCAAATTTCAGTTGGCCATGTGGGAGTCTAGCACCTTAACCACCACACCACCTGCTGGCCCTGCGTGTGCAAATCTTGACAAACATTCCAGTGCGTGCGCGTGCGTGTGTGTGTGTGTGTGTGTGTGTGTGTGTGTGTGTGTATGCCCCAAATCCCACCAGAGTGGAGAGATGGAGGAGGATTGTGGCCTGACCAAAGTGCTTTCTCCTTCTTGGTCTCTTTGGCAAGCACAGAGACCCTCAGACAAATTTAAAATAGAAGAATTCGTAAATCTCGAGATTTCACATTCCTGATATGGGGGATGATGTGCACGTGGAGAATGGGGTGTGAGAGCATTTACCTGCGTGCTTGCCCTCCAGGCTCCGCTGCGTGACCTGTGGTCTACCAGGCGTTCCTTCTTATTGGGCAGCAGGTGGCCCTGGCCTCATGTCAGAGGTTCTGGAAGGCTGTCTAGAGAGTCATGGAGGCCCTCACAGAGCTCTCTGCAGGGATGGCCTGCAGGTGCCGCTAAGGGGGCTCAGCAGGTGGGACATTCGCATCCCCCCTTGTCTGCACACTGGTCCGATATCTTCTGGGCTATAGTCTTGGGAGCCATTCTCCTCCCCCGAGGACACGACACATACATGCGGCCTACCACTCCCAAAGCTCTAGACAGGTGTCGTTTATTCTGTGGTGTGCTGGCACTGACCGGGGGCACCCTTTATCCGGTGGCAGCCATGCCCAGCAGCTGGGTCTGGCTGGGGTTAGGCCCCAAAGTCAACTCTGTGACCTACCTCCAGGGTGTGAAGTGTGGTACAAGAAGGCAAGCAGCATCTGTTGTAAGTTTATTTCTTCCATGGGAGACAGTACGCCAGCGTGGTGTTCATGCTGTGGCCTACCCCAGTCTCAGCTGGCCCGGCTCGTGGTCATGCGTGCTCAGGAAAGCTCTGGGGAGTGAGCCTGGCTATTCCTGGTGCACCCAGCCGCGCTGTTGCTGCAATTTGCCCTGGCCCACCAAATTTCAGTTTAAAGGCGTCTTTTATGTGAAGAAAATACGTTCTTCTTTTTTAAAAAAATTATTTATTTAATTTTACTTATTAATTCATTTACTTGAATTTAACCAGAGAAAGACAGAGAGATAGAGGGTGAGAAAGCAAGCCAGCAGCTCTGAGACTTGAACTGTGGTTGGCCATGTGGCAGTGTCCAGTGCCTTAACCACCACACCACCTGCTGGTCCCTGAAAACACATTCTGAACTGAGCCTTCAGTCACTCGGAGCAGCCCCCGTATGCTCGGGCTGTTTCTGCTGGTGAGAATGAGGCCTAGGGAGGGAGACAGTGCAGTGGTCAGTCTTCAGAGGGAGGCGAGCTCCTCCATGGGAGGATGGGAGGAACATTTGTAGATAGGGAAACCCAGAGTTTCCTTGTCGGTCTTCGGCTGGACGCCCTGGCCTCTGGGGTGCGCTCCTGTTTTACAGATACAGGGTGAGCAAATTCAGGTCCCAGATGGTGCCCATCAGAGTGCTCTGTAGGTCAGCGGCCCCAGCGGTACCATGGGCCAGCCTCCAAACGCAGGGACGTTGGCAGAGGTGGCAAGAGAGGGACTCAGTGCCCTCCTGTCCTCAAGCTGCTTGGTGTTTGTTGTTCCCTGTGAACCAAGGGCTGTGGTGAACCCAGAGCCCTCCCTCCAGGCCACGGTGAGTCTCAGGAGGAAAGCTGGGCTCAGCGAGGAGAGGTCTCTGTTGCCTGCCCTGCCGCTGCTCCTCCGGGAACCTATCAAATCTGGGCCATTTTCTCTAATTCTAGTGCCTGGGGCTGTGGAATGTCAGCTGAGAAATGGGACGTCCCCTGAATTCTTTAAGCGCCAGTCCTTAATACTTGTACTGTAAGTCACATATAAAATGTTAGTTGATCTCACTCCGTTCCCCCCATACTACACATGAGGAAGGCTAGTTGATTTTTCACTCTTAATCACAGGACTGTGGGAGAGTGGTCCCTCCTCTGTCTGAACCAGCCCCAGGTCTGAGAGCCCAAGGAGGCTGCGCATGCCCAGGCCGTACGCAGGGAACACTGCCTCACTCTTCAGCCCCGAGTGGCAGGTGCTCAGGGAGAGCTTTCTGAGAGGTGGCAGAGGCCACCAGCAGATCTCCAAACACGAGTATTTTAAAAAATGAGCACGTTATAAAAACAAAGCGAGCACATTGCTTTCAGAGCAAGCCTCTGTGTTCACCACCTCTGGCTTCTCTGTCCCCCGAGTTAGATTTGAACTGTGCTTGTCGTGAGAATTACAGGTGGGCCCAGAAGTGTGTGGCACTCTGAGGGGACACACTGTCCCCCGTGAGCTGTGACTGTTGTGGCCTCTAGTCAGCCTTCCGGCCTGGTGTCACTCGCAGTGGCAGTGGCCACGCACAGGTGTGCTCGCTGGGCAGGCTTTGCAGAGTCAGGGGCAGTGTCTGGCTGGGCAGATGCGGCCACACCTGAGGCCCTGGTGCGCTGGAGTGGAGAGCAGTCAGTCCCCCGATGCTCAAGTCCCCGCACGGGGTCCCGCATCTCTGGCACCCTGTGATCGAAGACCTCGCTGAGTGAAGCCACAGAGATCTAAAGGTGTTGAATTTTAGAATTAAAATTACCTGGCGGACCAGCAATTAGTGTAATGGCTATGTCACTGGACTCCCATGTAGCCGAGCACGGTTCGAGTTCCGGACCCGGTGGCTTAAACTCACACCGGGTGCGTGTGCGTGCGTGCCCAAGATCCCAAGAGCAGAATGGAGGAGAAGGGATTGTGGCGTGGCCATCTCCCCTGGGGGGTGATTTCTCGCTTTCTATCTCTCTGTCTCTCTCTGTCTGTCTAGCGAGCACACATGCCCTATAGCACAAACCTCTGAAAAAAAAATTAAAATTAACTACTAACATTTTTTTTTTTAAGAATGAAAATAAAACACAATAAAATGTTGCTAAAGATGATTAAAGAGAACCAAGAACAGAGCCAGTGAAGGGGGAAGAAAAATAATGAAAACACACATTTAGCAAGCGTGTCTCCCTTGGCAAAACCCCAGGGAGACACGGACAAGGGAGTTCCTTGAGAGTCAGTTTCCTGCGCTGCGTGGCTTACGTGCGTGTGCTCATGTGTGTGCGTGGTGTGGGCTGGTCTGTCCACAGCGTGTGTCTGTGGGCCAGTGGGGCTACGGGAGCTGTTGGGGTAACGTGGTAGGAATTCGCTCGCCAGCCACAGCTCTCGCCTGAAGCGCCCTTGCCCGTTTCCTTCTCAGCCCGCCAGCCTGTGTCGAGTGGCAGGAGGAGGCAGGGAGCGGCCAGCTGGTGGCCAGTCCCAGTGCGGTGCCGCCAGGGAAGCTCCTGGAAGCTGAGCTGTGCACACCTTAGGGAATGTGGTGGGGTAGTATTTCAGATTGTGCGTCCAAGGACGAGGGTCTGCTTGTGTGGGGTCTTTCCTGGTTCTATCTGACACTTAAAAATACTGAATAAAGCAAGTAAGCATGTATTTTTATATACACACATATCTATGTTTTGGCCTGATAGACTTTAATATAAATATTTTGAATGTTTTAAAAATTCCTTTGACATTAAGCACTAAGATATTCAAGTATGAATGAAAGATATTTGCCTAATGACTATAGTAAATTACTGTTTTTGTAAAAGGAACATGTTTGGCACCTGCCCTAACCGGTGTCCTGTTCTGCCCAGGGGGCTTCGTGTGAGGGGCTCATCCGGTCCTGGCTGCAGGGCGTGGCCCAGGAAGTGTCCTAAACGGGACAGTTATCCAACCTGCCCAGTATCAAACGTGCCAAAGCATTTCATTTTGTTGCTGATGTGTCCATGTATTCCCAGGCTGTGTGTAGACTCCAAGCGAAACTGGAGACCGGCCAGTTACTCATTGAACTCTGCCTCAGTTTGGATTTTTCAGAATCTCCCAGCTGCCATCGGCATTTCTTTCGAGAAAATAATGCTAGGTGAATTGCCGTTACTGGAACAGAACTAATGTGCCAAAGGTCAGGACCCCAGTTGGGGATCTGTCCTAGCCGCTTGGCCAGTACAGTGGACCTGCCAGCCGGCAGGATCTGCACTTCCTGTTCAGCTGCTCCCCAGGCGGGATAGCGCTGGCCCTGCTTTGGTTCTGGTGTCAGTTGAGCGGGGCAGGCCCTTCATTGTTTGTAAAGTGCACACCCAGAGCTCACCTGTGGGCTGCTCCCTAGGTGCGGCTGCTGGGGAGACCCCACACACTGCACCCCTGCCCTAGCCGGCTCCTTCATCTGCTCAGGAGGCGTGTGGCAAACGTGCGTGCTGTGTGTGTAAGAACTGACCGGCTGAGCAGTGTGGACAGCTGTGGACCATAAGTGTACTGTCAGCCTAGGCCTTTGTGCCTTCCTGAAGGTGAAACGTTTGGAGAACTTTACACCGTCTTAAGTCTTTTTTGCTGTCTAATTCCGGTGTGCTGGCATCATCTGAGACTTCAAAACTTGGAGTCTTACTTCAGTGTGTGTTTTACGCTGGGCCAGGCCTTAAATAGTCCGTTCTGTTTGTTCAGGAGGTTCTTAAGTGAAGTGGCTACTGAATGCAAAGGATTCTCAAATCTAATTTGTGGAAGTATTTAAGGAAAAAAAGATTAGCTATCTAAATTGAATTTTCCATGTTAAAATAATCAGATAATCACATACTTCTATGAATTATACCAATTATTACTAAAACTATTAGTGACTTTAAAATATGAAAGCATTTTATCTAACATTCTTGGTTTTAATGATATGGGGAAATAAAGTTAGGGACTACGAGAAGTTTATCTATGACCTAACTGAAAATCTGAACAAGCCGTTAACTGCAGACTAGAGGGTCAGGCTGCCACTTAACGCCTGACGAGGCGGCGATTGGTGGCTCCTCAGGAGTGGGTGTGCAGTTGCCAGAGAGGCCACATGCAGACTCAGAGCAGCTTGTTTGTTAGGGATGGAGGTGGGTGAGCCAGTGCATGAACGTCTCTTCTCTGGCTTTTCTTTTCTGCAGTCTCACCAGTGATCATTAAAGAATGGGCAGCTTACAAAGGGAAGTCTCCCCAGACCCCGGAGCTGGTGGAAGCCCTTGCCTTCAGGGAGTGGACCTGCCCTAACCTGAAGCGGCTTTGGCTGGGCAAGGCGGTGGAGGACAAGAACCGCAGGATGAGGGCCTTCCTGGCTTGTATGCGCTCCGACACCCCCGCCATGCTCAACCCCGCCAACGTGCCCACCCACCTCATGGTGCTCTGCTGCGTCTTACGGTGGGTACCGGGCCTGCGGGTGAGGGGCTGGGGGCTGGGACCCGGGACCTGGGACCCAGGACCCAGCCAGCAGTGGGGGCCACAACTGACATTGGAGTCAGACGGGGTCTAGAAAGGAATGAAAGTGCATTCCAGACGAATTCTGTTGGAATCCATCCTGACCCTGTATTTGTGTGTAGTATAGAAATGTCAGTCACAAAATACCTGTCTAAAATGTACTGTTTAGTGCATTTATACAATAGATAAATTTGATGAACAGTGTAGGATGAAAATGTTATGTAATTTAGACATAGCTTACTTTTCAAACATTGAAGATACTGAAACTATAGGGGGGATTATATTATATATTAATTGAAATTCTTCTGAAGGGAAAATTCGTGCCTTCTTTCCCCTTCATTTATAATCACATATTAATACCAGCTTGCACGCATGTGTTCATGTTGGAGGGTATAAACAGTTAATTTGGGGTTGTAACCCAGCACCATGCTACCGGCCTGGTCTCTCTGTGTCCTGGCTCTGGCCATGGGAGCCCCTCTGCGTGGGCCTCTGTGGCACACGGCACTGTCCTTGGGAGCACTTCCTTGCTGTCTGGCCTGACAAGATGCTCCAGGCGCCTCTTGCATTTCCCTGCTCCTGCGTGTCTCCTGAGGGCAGCCTGGCTCTTTGTTGTGGAGAAGCGGGTAGAAACCCAGGTCCTCACATCCACGTGCTCCTGTCTCTGTATCTGGAACCTCACATCCGACGGCCTCAGGTCCATGTGTAGACACGGTTGACAATTCCAAAGTCATTTTGTGTTGAGGTGCATGGTGGCTTTTTTTTTCCTTTGAAATTATTTTAAACTTAGAGAAGAGTTGTAAGATACAGTTTTTTTTTTCTTTTACTCAAGTACTTTGGTGTGATTCTTCTAATGAACAGGGACATTTTCCTGCATAACCAGCCTATAGCTAACAGAATCAGTCCACACCCTAGGCCCTTCTGTCTCTATGCCCATTGCCTGTTGCCCCAGATGTGTTCTCTGTGATGAGGGACCTCGTCCCTGCCTCAGTTTCAGGACTCCATTTCTCAAACAGCTCAGCTACAAGTGGGGGCAGCATTGGAGAAACCCACTCTTGCCCTGGAAGGCTTCTTGTGCAGGAGCTGTGCCACGTGTCCTCCCTGGGCATTTGTACATTCACCCAGGAGCGGCCGCCGTGTGCTCCTGTTCTCAAAGGTGGAGTTTTCACCCTGGTCCCTCTAACCTGGCTCTGCCTAGTGGTCCCTGACACCTGAAGTCTGTGGCTTTCACAGTGAGAGATGGGGGTTGGGCACCTTCATGGCCCACATACTTTGTCATGCCCCCAGTATGTCGTGCCATCCTTGCTGTCCCTACCCCTTTCGGATCCTGCCTCGACCCTGAGGCACCTCCTTTGCTGGAACCGCTACCCCTTGCTGGGCCATCACTGCCTTGCCACCCTCTCATGTCCCACCTACCTGGCATAGGAGGGGAAGAACAGAGCTTTATTTGTGGTTTTATCTCTTCAAGTACCTTAAATGTATGGCAGACTTAAAGACCAAAATATTGATAACTTATTTAGCAAGAGTTAAGTGGAGGTTGACTAAATCAAGTATAGTGTGTCAGTTTCTTTTAATTTTTTCAGAGGGCTCATGCTTACAGCCAGCAGGGGCTAAGGAGTGAGGCGGTCACATTGCAATCCTTTCCTTCCCATCTCTCCTTTCAGGATTTTGGGCATGCGTGCATATGCTCCCAGCCAATGGGTCTGGGACTAACTGCTCTATTAGCTCTGTGGAATCCAGCTACTTTAACCGCCCTGCCACTAATAGGCCCAATTTCTTTCTTTTAAAAACAATTTCTTGGGGAGACCAGCAGATGGCATAATGATTGTCACTGGACTCCCACATAGTGAACTGCGGTTCAGGTCATAGAGCTGATGGCTTAAAACTCGTGCCCAAGATCCTGAGAGAAGAATGGAGGAGAAGGGATTGCATGGCCACCCCCGCCCGCCCC